TTCCTCCCTCTTGGCTCCTCTCTCTCCTCTCCCCTCTCCCTCACTTTCCCCTCTAACCCTAACAATATTCCTTTCAATGAAAGAGATCTAGGAACTTTTTTCCAGTTTCACCTGAGGCTTTGGAGCCCTTTTTTGTGGCCAGGGTCGCAGGTGTTCTGAATATGAAAAGGAAATGAAAATATGGTGAAGCTGGAGGAACGTGTCACTTCACGTTTTCTTCTCACATTTGATGTAAGATGTGCCTTCTCACTGGGTCTTTTCCATGACTCACTGTGGAGTGGGGGGAGTGCCCCCCACATCTACCACCTGGGCGGGCCTCCCTGTCCTGCCTGCAGGACCATGGCCTGCACGGAGCAGACACTCGCTGACAGCGCCTGCTCAGAGTCACTGCCTCTGGACTGCTTGGAAAATTGACACTTGGTCGTATATCCAAATTGAGTAACTTATGAGAGAGCCGGCTGTTGTCACTCTGCAGTTCCGCTGGCCTCATAGTCAGGCTCTAAATGGAGCTCCAGATGATCGCAGCCTTTGTTAGTGGAGGCCTGCAGGTGGGGTCCTCCCCGAGAGCCCGGCCGGCAGAAGAGCTCTGGGTAGAGTGGCTGAAACTTGGCCATCTGCTGCGGTTGGCCAGCTGGAAAGGATATTCTGGGTGGAAGGAAGCAAGGGGAGGGGATCCCTGGGTGGAAGAAACTGTGGGCCCTAAGGCTGAGGCTTTGAAGGTAGGGCTGGCCCTCTACAGGGGGCTCCCAGGGGCTTTGGGCCAGGACAGGCAGGAGCCAGGCCACTTTTGGGATGGGGTCTGCTGGGCCCCTGGCCCCTCTGGAGGTCAGGATTAAGTCAGCAGATTTGACCTTGGGGAAGGAGTTGTTTCCCTCGATCCCTTCCTTCCTGAGGGCCCCTCCAGGTTCTCTGGTGAATGACTTTCCCAGGTATAGGAGGATTATCCTTCCCCATAAGATTATTCACACCTGCCAGTCTGGCTGTAGGAAAGCAGGGCTAATTTTGCCTAAAGGAAGGAAACTCCAAGTAAAGGTGAATGAGTAGTGGAGCCTTGTCATAGATGATACTGGAGTTTCTAGTGAGGAGGCAGCCCCAGTGACTGCTTCTCTGAGCCCCGGACCTCCCCAGCCCCCAGCCCCTCTGCACAGAGGGAAATGCTGGGGACTTTCTGTAGTGTTTGCTATTTTCTCAGGGACTTAAAACATTTGCTAGCTTCCATTGCCATCTCCTGTCCTGTGCCCTGTCCCATCCCACGTGCTTTTCCAGGTTTACATTTAGAGAGGAGGTAGGTGTCCTTTGAAATCCTGAGTGGCAGGAATGTTAACATGGTAGATATTTGGAGCAGAAGACAGATCAGTTGTTGCTGGGATTGGGGTTGGGGGAGGGGCTGGTCACAAAGAGCAACAGAAAGGGACTTGGAGCGTGTGATGGAACTATGCTGTGCCTTCATTACGTGTATGTGCAAATCTACGACTTCACAACAAAAAGAGTGGACTTTACTGCATATGATTTCAAAAAAGTGGCTAACATCTTTAAAATAGCATCCAGCTGTTTATTTTTAAATTTATTATTATTATTTAAAATATGTCTTTACTGATTTCAAAGAGAGGAAGGGAGAGGGAGAGAGAAACATCAATGATGAGAGTCATTGATCGGCTGCCTCCTGCAGGCCCCCAACTGGGGATCGAGCCTGCAACCTGGGCATGTGCCCTGACCGGGAATCGAACCGGGATTCTAGGTCGATGCTCAACCGCTGAACCACACTGGCCTGACCACATCTACGTATTTAAAAGCAAGGCTGTGGGCATTGGAGTCAGTTGCACCCGGCTCAGGGTTCTTGGGAGTCAGGACTCTTGTCATAGTTTAATGATGAAAGGAGCCGAACCTTGAGCTTGTATAGAGGCTACATTTCCTTATCTGCTAAAAACACCCCCCAAAAAACCCCAGAAAATGAGGGTGACGAAAACTGTCTTATGAGATTGTTGTGAAGATTTAAATAAAATAACGCACCTAAGGCTGCGTGACACAGACAGGGTAGCGGGTTAAAAATTGTTTGTGTGTGTGTGCCTGTCACTTTCTGGCAGCCGCCAGTGTCTCTGTGACCATTTAAAAGAACAGATCTTGCCGCCTCGATCAAGATGCAGATGTAAGGAAGAAAGCAGTGGAAGGCGGCTGAGGGAATAAAGGCTTAATAAAGGAAACGTCTTGTTTGTATTTGGATGGAGGGTTCTGGCCTGCTGGAGGCACCGAGAAGCGACAGCCAAGGGTGTTGTCAGGAAGGGGATTCTGCTTCCTGCCCGGGTGGGTGTCGCAGGGAGTCATTGAAGTCGGGGTCCTGTGTGCGCATCCTGTGGCGCAAGTGTCTGTTTGCCTTGCAGCTCCGCATCGGTTTTGTGTGGCACTCCCGCTGGGCTGGCCGGCCCACGCTGGTTTCTCTAAGGAAGGAGATGATGCCCTGAAGGCAGCCAATTTCTTTTTCACCCAAATCTCCAATGAAAAATCGCTGACTTACCGAGGTCTGCAGGGAGGTGGGTTTGCTGTGCGCTCGCTGTGCGCATCCTGCCCATGTGGTTTTGTGCGTTTTGCTTGGTTAGGACAAGTGCTTTGTCATTAATTAAAGCTTCTCCTGTGTTGATGGCCCTGCCAGGCTGCTCTGCACGTTTCCCCCATTTTACAGCTGGGCCCACTGAGGCACAGCGATGTGCGTGGGCTCTGTTACGGAGGAAGGCAGCCGGAGGGCCGGGGGCCCGTCTTCGCAGGCCTTCCTCAGTTGTACGAGCCCCTTTTTCGGTTTCATTGGAGCTGTCTGCGAGCCTTCCCGGGCTCTGGAAGCAATCAGCTGCCGCTGGCCCTGGTTTATAGACGGTACAGAAATTGCGCGGGGGCCAGACAGGAGCTGGGGAAATCACCGAGCCAGCTTCCTCCGCTGTGAAGTTGCTCTTTTGTACTCTCTCTGTTCTGGCCATAAGACCTGCATAATTCTCTTTTTCCTGTCTGCAGCCCGCCTGCTGGGGTGCTGTCTGTTTTTACTACAAAGTGGGCACCCCTCCCGTGGAGTTCCCTGGACAGCATCACTCTGCCCTGACTTGTCACCCCAGCTGCTTCCTTTGCCAGCCGTAGCTGCCACCAAAGCGGCTCAAAGAGGCCAAAGTAGGTCCAGCCACTCCGAGCCGTCCCCTGGGTATTTGAGTAGCCAGTGTGTGAAGATGCCTGTGATGAGGAATCAGCAATAAGACACAGCCAGGCGCTGTCGCTTTCTCTTACTGCATCACGTAGGTCCCCACAAATTGTCGTGGGTCTCTCCCAATTCCTTTTTACTCAACTTCGTGTGAAAAGGAAGCTGGCAAAAGGCATCTGTGGTGAGGACTTGAGCCTCACCATCTGAACCTGATCTAATTCTAGAACCGTCTGTAGTGGTCAGGGGGCTGGCGCAGAACTGGTTCTTTGTCCCCTGTCACTTCCTGGCTCACCTGAGCTCTCACAGGCTCAGCTGCCTCACCAGTAAAATGGGGTAAAAAGAGTGGGCCCTGCCCTGGCTGGCGTGCTCAGTGGTTAGAGCGTCAGCCTGTGCACCAGAGGGTCGTGGGTTCGATTCCAGCCAAGAGCATGTACCTAGGTTGCAGGTTTGATTTCTGCCCACAACTGGGGCGTGTGCAGGAGGCAACTAATTGATGTGTTTCT